TGTGGCCTGGTACCTACGTTACGGGTGTGAGATGGCAAGGCCGTATAAGGCCTACAAATCGTGCCAGATCGCCCAATCCGCCGTCTTCATCTCGGCATACATGTCGTAAGAACAGCCCTACCTATTTCCATAGCCCTCGAACGTCCACTGGTAGTACCATGACTGACTGATATCCGACAGAACCATTTACCTCATTGGCCTTGGTTTCTCCATTCACGCAATGTTGCCCAACAAGTCGATCGATTGCCCTCGCAAACCTGATGACGACGACGACGATGATAATGTCAGCCACCACTCGTCTCCCGATTGGGAGATGGGCAACATGAAGAGCGGTGGTGTTGTGACCTCGACACCTTTCACACCGGGACCTTACACACCCTTCACACCGAGGACCCAGGCTTTCAATACGCTTGATCACAACTCATCCGTGAAGCCCGAGCCAGGGAGATATGCCTGAGATAGCACGATGATCTTGAGAAATGTTTTGTTTTATTTTTCCTTATGCACTCAACCCTTCTGTCGAATAATGTACGCTGAAGAGGTATTATGTGTCTCGGTTGCTCTGCGAGCACCAGGCAGACGCTCATGAATAAGCATCCGGATATGACAGCATATAGTTTCATAGCGGCGTAATAGGAATGGGGATTTGAACAATTGAAAATACATTATGAACTCACGGCTTCTTCTACAATAATATTAGAGATTCTCCGCTGTTGAAAGCCGTTTGTTTAACAACCCATTCAAGGAAAAGACAGCGCGAAATAGCCAATCGGGTGCTATGTATTGTTATGGCAATTCCTATCGCTGGTAGAATAGTCTGGTAGTCTGGCAGCAACACGGTGAGTGGTTCTCATTAGACTTGCCGGAACTGGAACCGGCCCATCCCAACGGCACGATGCTCAAGCTAACAGTGGGGGCCTTTCCCAGACGTCATCGATCAAGGGCTTCGACAACAGCGGTTTCGGCCAAAAAAGAGCAGCCTAATGAAGAGGAAAAAGTCGATTATAAATCTCGGAGGGAGCAAAACAGAGAGGATAGGCCATTGAGAATCAACCAGAACGAAAAGACCCGGTCCGTGATTCCGTGAAACCCAGAATACGGCCGGAACTCCGGGGAGTTAGGCACAGATCTCGGGGTTCAGCGGCCTGGGGAGGGCGCTAGCATCATCGGCACCTCCATCGGAGCTATCTCATAGCGGGGGAGCATCTCGAAACTGCCTTCAGCTCTCTTCGGGTAAGAAAAAAGAGACCCTGGATCCCTCACACACATCAGCCGTGGATTGATTGACTCGGCCTCCATCCACAACCATGGCGTTGTTTAAAAGGGCAGCGATGCCTTCGCTTCGCTTCTCTCCGGGGGTCACTTCATCCATCATCAGCATTCGCAGAGCTTCCTCAATGGCTCCGCCAAAGGTACGTCCTTCCCGCAGCAACTTGACCAGCCTTTTCATTTCATGTCCGCAAGAGCACCCGCACTGACCTCGTTCTCGGCAGCTCAACGATCCTTCTCTGTTCATTCAGAATGCCTGCTACGTCAATGGCGAGTGGCGGGCTGCCAAGTCCGGCAAGACCTTCAAGGTGAACGGTATGCGCAACACGTCCCCCAGCCTCAACCGCCACCATTGGCGCCAATTGAAGTTCCCCCATCCAACTAACACGCCTTCTCGCTTCCCAGACCCTTCGACGGGCGAGTTCATCGGAACCAGCCCCGAATTCGATGTAGCCGACACCAAATCGGCCATCGTCGCCGCCGCCGACGCCTTCCCATCCTTCCGCGCAAAGACCGGCCGCGAGCGCGCAAAGCTGCTGCGGAAATGGTTCGACGAGCTCAACGCCAACGCCGAAGACATCGCCAAGCTCATCACATGGGAGAACGGCAAGCCGATCAACGACGCCAAGGGCGAGTCGGCCTACGCCGCCAGCTTCCTCGAGTGGTTCAGCGAGGAGGCGCCTCGCATCTACGGCGACACCATCAACAGCTCCAACCCCTCCAACCGCATCATAACCGTCAAGGAGCCCGTGGGCGTCTGCGGCCTGATCACGCCGTGGAACTTCCCCGCCGCCATGATCACCAGGAAGGTTGCCCCCGCGCTAGCGGCCGGCTGCACCGTGGTCTGCAAGGCTCCCGCCGAGACCCCCTTCACGGCTCTTGCGCTGGCTGAGCTGGCCCACCGGGCTGGCATCCCCAAGGGAGTTGTCAACGTCGTCACAGCACTCGACAACACGATCGAGATAGGGAAGCTGCTCACCACCTCCCCGACCATCAAGAAGGTCTCATTCACCGGGTCGACTGGTGTAGGCAAGATCCTCATGAAGCAATCTTCCGACACTCTTAAGAAGCTCTCCATGGAGCTTGGTGGCAATTCGCCGTTCATCGTGTTTGACGATGCCGACGTGGATGCCGCGGTGGCCGGGGCTATCGTCTCCAAGTTCCGCTCATCAGGCCAGACCTGCGTCTGTGCCAATCGCCTCTACGTTCAGTCTAGTATTTATGACCAGTTTATTCAGAAGTTCACCGAGGCCGTTAAATCCTTCTCTGTTGGCAATGGCTTCGACGAGGGCATCACCCATGGTCCTCTAATCCACGACCGTGCCATCGACAAGGTCGACTCCCATGTCCGGGATGCCGAGAAGAAGGGTGCCACCATCACCATCGGTGGCCAGAAGCTTCCCAACCTTGGTGCCAACTTCTTCCAGCCCACCGTCATCCGCGACATGACCGCTGACATGGCCATCGCCACCGAAGAGACCTTTGGTCCTGTCGCTGGAGTTTTCTCCTTTGAGACGGAAGACGAAGTCGTCCGCTTAGCGAACCAGTCCGATGTTGGTCTGGCAGGTTATTTCTTCTCTCGTGACATTTCTCGCGTCTTCCGAGTCGCGGAGGCTCTGGAAGTCGGCATGATCGGTGTCAACACTGGACTCATCTCAGACCCGGCTTCGCCGTTTGGCGGTGTCAAGCAGAGCGGTTTCGGGAGGGAAGGGTCCAAGTACGGTCTGGCCGAGTTTCAGACGATCAAGTCAGTCACATTTGGCGATATGGGCAAACCTTTACAAGGCAAGTTGTAAGGCGTATATACATATATTTATTATTAATGTCTCGGAATGAAAAAAGAAAAGCTTATGCTCCTAAAATTTGTATCTAGATGAAAGGCCATCACCCAAAGATATGGGCTTGATTCTCATACTCACCAAAAAGCCACCGCTCACTGTAACCAAGTAGGCATTTCAAAACCGAAAACGAATATTGGAATTAGGAAAGAAAGACACTACCTTTCTATCCATAGAAATAAAATCATCTGGGGACTCATTGGCTATCAGAGGCGAGACGGACTCTAGGGTAGGTTGATGGTCAAGCTGCGCGAACGTTTCGGTCGTCTCCAAATACCTCTCAGGGCAAAAGATAACAAAACTAAAGGGGATACATTTCTAAGGAAAGTGATAGATGTAATTTTGGGGTAGAAAAAGCAAAAAATGATCGCGGCAGGGTTCGAACCTGCGATCTTTTGGGGGTATACATCTTGTGAATGTAAACCAAACGCCTTACCACTGGGCCACGCGACCGAGGTGATGTCAAAGACGGTAAGATTAACGGGCTCGCCCTACTATATGGGATTCCGTAGTGATCCTCTCGAGCAATCCGGCTCGCTTCAAATCAGTCAAGGCTTCAATGGCTCTCCGGCTTTCTTTGGATTGTCATTGTTCTAGATTTTGCCGATATTTTCATTGTTAAATTGAGTTAGATACGTATCTTCGTGGTTGATATTCCGGGTGTTGCTTTGGTACTACTTGCAGCATTGACCGGTAGAGCCTTATCTTATCAAGCCCTTGAAACTTCTGAACGACCTTCTTCCATCAACGTCCGAGAGGTTTCAAGTCTCAAGACCACCAACATGTCCCTCTCAAGAGCCAATTTGCCTGTGAGGCAATGCCTCAGCTGTATCTCCCACACCCAGAAGTACGCAAGCTCCCTCTCCCACCCCCTCCTGACGATGCTAACCCCTCCAATAGGCGAGCTATCCCAGCCGCATCATGGCGAGCCTCAGTAGCTTCTAGCTCCCCTGCCCACCAGGCCTCCCCCCTCGCTCCCATACGCTTCTTCAGCGCCTCCCAACAACTCCAGAAGAAGCGCAAAATCGCCGCCCCCAAGGGCTCCCGCTCCGACGAAGCCCACGTCGAGGATGCCCCCTCCGGCAAGCGCAAGGGCGGCGCCCCCCCCTCCACCACCCCCAACGACGCCGCCGCCGCCGAGGAGATCGACCCCCTCGACTTCACCGCGCTGATAACCGCCTTCGGGCCCATCGACGCCCACTTCAAGGCCCAGCTCCAGGCCCTCTCCCACGGCGGCCGCTTCAACCCGACCAACCTCGGCGCCCTCACCGTCCACGTCACCTCCCACGAGATGGCCGACGACGCCAGCGGCACCATGACCACCGTCGCCGAGGACTTCCCCCTCTCCGAGCTCGCCCAGATCGTGCCCCGCTCCGGGCGCACCATCTCCCTCCTCGTCCACGACCGCGGCTACATCAAGCCCATCATGTCCGCCGTCCAGGCGTCCCCGGACTACAACCAGCAGCCCCAGCGCTCCGAGGACAACGACCTCGAGCTGCTGCTGAAAGTAGAGATGGAGCGCAAGGAGGACGTCGCCCGCCGCGTCAAGGAGGCCACGCAGCTGTGGCGCGAGCGCGTCCGCGCCGCCAGGACCAAGCACGAGAAGCACATCAAGGACTGGCAGAAGAAGAAGACAATCACCACCGACCTGGCGAGGAAGGCGGACAAGGAGCTCCAGAAGCTCCAGGACAAGAAGATGAAGGAGATTGACGGCGAGGAGGCCAAGGCGATTAAGTCGCTGTAGTGGGGGGGATTATCCCCAGTCAACTACATATGTACATTAGAAAAAAGCAGGCATATTATTTTATCAAAAATTGGACGGGAAAAAAGAGACCAGTGTATCGTAATATTATTACACAAAGTGTACACACATATTCAGCTATATCATACAGTTCAAGCCTTGGCCCGGGGTTGCGGCTTGGCCTTGTTCAGCAAGGACGTGAGCTTTGCCTCGAACAGATTCGTCTCCTTCTCTGACCAAGTCTCAGACCTCAGATGCCAGTTGCGTGCCACGCCCACCGGATCCGAGGCTTGCTTGATTGCCTCATGCTGGCCAGCGACTGCTTTGTTTAGAATAACCTGCTTGATGGACTCTTCAACCCCGTCCATCATGATCACCTCATTGTTTCTCTCGACGGGGGCGGGCTCCTCATCCTCTGCAGTATTGAGATACGCTTGCGTGACCGCATCGTCGTAGCGTTTCTCTTGCATGGCCTGCTCCAAACCGGCCTTGGTTTCCGGTTCGGCAAAGAAGAGCAGGCCACCCTGTTGAAGCCTCTCCCCGTAGCCGCTGGCCTGCAGGCCCAGGGCAGTGCCGACGCGGTCTCCGGTGCCGAGATATTGAAGGTTTTCCAGCACGGTGGCCGACTTGCTACCTGATGCCGAGGGGACAGTGGGCATGAAGTCAGTCAGAGCCTCCGCAGTCACTGGCGCTGGGTTGAACACCTCGGTCGTTCCAAAACGAACAACCTGTTCAAGCGCTTCTTCGGCCGGGTCCGGTTTGATATTTTCCTTGTCTTCATCTCTCCTTACACGCTCACGTTCCTGCCGCTCAGCATTCTCGCCATCCTGATCACCGTCTCGCCGTTTCCCTCGCCCGCCGCCTCCCCGGCCACCTCGACCTCGACCACCACGACCCGCAAAGCCACCACGAGCGAACCGGTTCGTCCCAGTGGGTGACGGGCTTCGTAGGTGAGGGGGGACAGCTGCGCCGCCACGCATCGATCCACGCCCAAGGCCCCTGCCACGGCCTCTTAGACCACCTCTTGGTAGACTCTTGACATCAATGACTCTGGGCTGGTTGCTGGTTCCTTCGGGGCTCGCAGCTGTGTTGGCCTGGGCAGGGCTGGCGCGGTTTCTTGCGAAAGCCTTGACTTCGTTCGCAGTATTGAGGGAGCGTTGTCGGAGATTCGGGGGTGCGCTGCTTCCTTTATTGCTGGCCTCGTCGGCGAGCCAATTGTTCGATGTCGAGAAGTGGCGGAAGTAGCTGGAGACATTGTCTGTTGCTTGCTCCAATTCTGGCCGCGAGCGGCCGCAGACTGCGCGGAAAGCTCGTCTTCCAATCATTGCCGTGTTTTTATGCAGGATTCCCATGCATTGACGGCAAAACGTATGAAGGAGGATGGCTTGGTCGCAAGTAGTGGCGATGATGAACGTTGCCAAACTGCTCGTACACTGAATCAAAAAGTTTCCAGGATTTCACGTGACCCACATATCCGCCCACTTGTCACACCAACTGCTATGCTTCAACCAGAGGGGTATCATGAGATGACTTTCTCCAGTCTGGTTTCGTATATTTTTCTTCTCTCAACCATTAGGCATAAAATGGGGTGATGCTATTTATTAACCTTGATTTTCCCTTTGAATGTTCCTCATCTGATGCATTATGTTTCTTCAATCACGACGATAAGGCTTGGTATATGCAGTAACCAGGTTGGGTATTAATTTGAAACTATGAAAACTCCTCCAAACAACAAGAACTAAGTGTGACGCAAGATTTGCGCGAGCCATAGCATAAAATACATACTGGGATACGTATAAAGCCCCAGACGAATCGGCACCCACGCTTGCATCCACTCCTTCTCTGCCCTTTCGAAATATCTCTACACAGGTTGTCGTCTCGCAGGATCCTGGATTAAACATCCTCAGACACCGCCATGAAGTATGATATTGAGATTGATATGACTTGATCCCTGTGTTGAACCACCCATTTCTGGGATGTGGATAGGGACAGCTACGTCTCATCCTTCAGCAAGGGACCAAGTTAGGCGATGGCCATTAGCCTCGAGTTTCACCTCGCTGCGTTGACCCCCGGGCGCCATTGGTCAATATCGCTCTACTGTAGTTTGGCCTCAAATCTCTCCTCGTGTTAATAATAATCGAACCGACCGTAAGGTGTTCTTAGCGCCCGCTTCTCCCGAGCCCTCAACAACTTCGACGCCCCTTGGTCGAGATACATCTGAATTAGATTGAATAACCCAGGGTTGCCCCTATATCTGTATATACGCTCACACGCTTTGAGGATGCACATTCGCAGGCTAAGGTAAGGTTAGAGTGCTGCATGGCGAGGAGGACAGATGATTTCGGATAACTCTACTCACGGGGCTGTTTAGCATTTGTTGTCGCTTGTTTCGTCCCTTCTTGATATGGCTCTTGAGTGCGCTGGAGTCAAGAGGCTTCAGCAGCTCAAAGCTGCAGAGCAGTTCGGCCGACACCGACATCACTGCCCCCCAGTTGTCAAATTCACCACAGTACTATGTCGTGTTAGTGACAAAATCGAACTAAGATATACGTTCTGGATAGAAAACTCACATTTGGTGCACTGAAAACGGTTACCAAGACTTTGTCGTTAAAAAATTCGTAGCCATCTTCAACTACCATGTGTGCTCGGCAAACTAGATCGAAATCATGAACTGCCAAGAAGTCTGTAATGACTCGTTTGCCAAAACAATAGCTCACGCCGCGCTCGTTGGCCTCCCAATCCTGTTCCATTTCGGCAGGGTCAGACCAGAGGAGGTCATTGAGGAGGCCGTAATCGGGAACATCCGTAGGACGAGCAATATTTCGAATGTCATCCATCTGGCTCAGTGCGGGTGATAGTCCGCCGTGGACGCAAAATATCTTCCCTGCAACGATGGACGCGATTGGTAACGTGTTAAAGCAATCGACAAAGGTCTTCCAGATCTTGACATTGCACCTTCGCTTGCATTCGTCGTAGAACCCATAGACTCTGGTGACATTGGCGCATTCGTGGTTGCCGCGCAACAAAAAGAAGTTTTCGGGAAACTTGAGCTTATAGCAAAGAAGTAGCAATATCGTCTCAAGGGACTGCTTGCCCCGGTCAACGTAATCGCCGAGGAAGAGGTAGTTTGAGTTGGGTGGAAATCCACACATCTCAAACATCCGAATAAGGTCGGTGTATTGACCATGCACATCGCCCACAATCTTAACAGGAGCGTCGAGTTCGAGGAGGGCCGGTTGGCTCAAGAATACTTCTCTTGCTCGTTGACAGATTGCTACAATCTCTGCATTCTTTAGACAAACGCTCTTCGTGACTTTGCCAGCATATCCCGCATCAAGTAGACGCTTGATAAAATCATCCAGATCAATATCCTTGATGTCTGACATGGCCACATTGTTCATTGTTTCGGTCTTGCTCGAATCCGTCGCGGAATCCTGCTGGATTGGGTTGGGCGCATTCTCACGCCTCACAAGGATGGACTGGCCAGGAGATTGTGTACTTGTATTGGCGTTCGCTACAGATGTTGGTGGTTGGTCGGACACATGGTCTACCTCGCCCGAGGCCTGGGCAGCGTTCAGGTCAGAATGATGACCCTTCTTCACAGACTGAGACTGCACTGGAGAGGGTGGGGGTTGGTCGTCGGAGGTGGGTGAAAGAGGTGATTCTACTGAGGTGTCTACTGAATCCGTCCTGAGATTTGGTATGTCGGGTCGGTTTGGCCGGGACGCGCTGGATCGTGCGCTTCGCCCCGATCTGACCGACGCGGCGTCTGCTGTTTTGTCACCCAAGTCGCCATTTGATAGGATGGCCGAGGATCGCGGGCTGTCTAGCTTGCCACTTCCTGGGATCTTGGATCGGAGAGACCGGAACGATCGTGACGATTCCTTTGTGTCAGACTTGCTGAACGACGGATATTTTTGCAGGCTGTCCCCAACCGAAGCTCCAGGTCCCTTGGATGAACCACTTTCCCTGGAACTCTGATTACCCATCTTGCAGTTGGAGATCCCACTCGACAAGGAAGTGTGACACCTGTCTCAAATTCCGCAGGGTTGCGCCCGCCCTCTGGAATCAGCCTTGCCGAAAGGTTATTGATTTGCAATCCGCTGCTGACAGGCTTGGTCGATTCTAGGGAGGGTGAAACAATCTGCCAAGGACGGAAAAAGGGACAGACCGTGAGCCTTTTAGAGTGTCCGTTTTGTGTGACTTGGGCAAGCGCCTCGACGAATCCGATTAGACGTGCGTGAGGAAAGGGTGTGCTCGGTATGAATGACGTCCGTCGGATTGGGTATCGATTGCTGCAGGCCAGGGTGGTATTACTGAACGAATAGTTGCTACCCAAGAAACGAAAATGTCAGCAAATTGCTGCAAGAATACCAAAATGAAAGTGGTCGCAGCGCGTGGTTGACGAATATCGCTGTTTGTGAGACAGGTTGCGGGAGCGAGGCGACGGGATTATCAAAAGATAGACAAGACAGCTTGGCGGGTACGGTGCCGAGACTTGCGCCAGCAGAAAAGAGTTGGTTCTGATTCTGACTGATAGACGTCCGAGATCGCAGATGGGAATAAATTGCCGGGAGTTGGAGCTGAATACTCACCGGTTCTCACAGGGCAATGCTAATCCGAGGCACGTGCCTGCTTGCAGGTGATAACTGATGTGAGGAGGGGGGGGCTCTGATTGTCGTCCCGTTGTGCAGAGTGACAATCTCTGAAGGGGCGAGATTGATGGTAAGGGGGGAGGCGAGGAGCGGAGCGCACGAGGCGGGGGACTGGAGAGGATTAGAAGCGAGGATATGTAAGGCACCGGCAGGGCCTGGCGAGGAGAGGTACAGGTCGCGAGAGAGGTCGACGCCCGGCGATGATGGCTGGAAAAAAATGATGCAGGAGGAGAGCCTGTGACTGCGGCGACAGTTGATGGGCGGCGATTGGCAGCGGTGGTGACGCCCAAATCCGGGGCCCAGACTCCGGGCTCATGTACTGCCAAGGCGAAAACTCGCTGGTCTGGTACCTGTGGAACTGGATTGGGCGACGGCAGAAATTTAAGGTTTTGGCGCCCCTCTCCCAGGTTCAGGTTCCCAGGAGGGGCCCAAGAGGCAGGACCAACCTGTAGGGAGCACCTACCTGCCTGTAGATAGGCAGCACCCACCCGCTCTTACACCACCAACAGGTGCCATGCCACAGCTTCCGGGAGCCGGACTTAGACACATCAGTCAAGGCGCTCGTCCCGGCGATGGAACGGAGCTATCGGAGGCAGGGAGGGCCCCATCGCATGCGTAATCTGCCGTGTTCGGCGTGGTACTGCGCGGTTCGCAATCGTGCAGAGACCAGCGCTCGTTGCCTGCCTTGAATGTCCAGCAGCGCGCAGGTGGCATGCCGAATCTTGGGGGTTAGTCGGCAGGCGATAGGTAGCACGGCGATGAAGGCCGCCTCCACCTTCCCATATTACCAGCTTGGCCCTTTTGGGAGATTGGGCATTTTATTATAGCAGGGAATATGGTTCGAAGCCCTTGTAGCAGGCGTATATGGTCTCATACGTTTCGTCGTGTTCCAACTCTTTTCTGGGTTTATGCGCAGCCATATGCACTTTATAACGAGCTGTGCTGATGTTCATCGCGGGATGGCTTGCCCAGTTCCCTCCATAAGCTCACCTCAACTCCACTCCCATGACTGGCCACTATCTGTCTGTGGTGCTTAGATTTGGAGTCGTTGAAAGCCGATTGCCGACAGGTGGGGCTTATCTGTAGTTTATGTATTGCCCGGTTTGTCAGGACGGCTCCAATTGCTTCGCGGGCTTGACGCATTCCCGGAGTTGAGTTTTCCTCAATTGGGTTGGGATATCCGATGATATTATCTGACATCAACCGGCTACCTAGAGTATCAACACCGCACTGGCTGGGATGGAGAGATGTGCCGCGATAGCGCTGACTCCATTGGCCACCACTTTTTCTTAGCGTTCATGGTTCAATGACCCTGGAGCGCTAGATGGCCCCCGTGTGCTTGCTGTCTGGTGTTTACGTACTTCTGGAACTACAGAGTCTGTCTAACTGCCATTTGCTGGTTCAGCTTATCCATCATCGGCCTTTGGGGGTGGGGGCCAGGTGTTTCAATGCACCACGCTGATGGGTTACCGAGATCAGTGAAAAGTGTTCACATGGCTGCAAAGGGCTATTTGCTTGGACCGGGGCCTCTCGCATATGCGGGCTTGCCAATGGTCGTGTTGGTTGGGGGCTGACTGGTCGATGGCGGAGAGGTGGGCAGAGGAATACGTTGCGTTCTAAAAATAGTAGTGTCTGGGCCTGCCCTCGTGAAAGCTTAGCGAAGGGCCGAAGGCAGTGAAGGTGCGGGCGATGTGGCGGGGTCGATTCGGGTCAACGCACAGTGGGCTGAGCTTGTGTGGCTTGAGGGAAACGCCGCTAGAGAGGGAAAGACTTCCAGCTCTCCAGCCGCAGCGATCCAAGCCAGGACTATCGAATTGATTGAGAACTCTTGGCCTTGGTGCGAATGACTCTCGGGTCAGCTTTATCACTGATTAGGCTGGTGAGGCGCATCGCACTATGTTGCATGTTTAGGAAAATTTCGCAACAGGACTGCCCAATGCGATCTGCGCATCGTCCATTGTGTGCTCTAAGGAAGTACGTATGTCCCGTACGTGGATGTATAAACTCTCTCCACTCATGCCCACTAACTAATGCGCACCGTGCGACAGTTATGGTGAAACGGCGCTGGGGGTTGTAATGTCGGGCTGAAGTTAATCCTCAATTGCTGTTCAAAATAGAGATCCTCTAGCGACCTACCCACTTGAGAGTAAGCCCACTTAGATCTCTCGAGGAACGTCAGAGAGCGAGTCGATCAGCATGTTGGAGGAGGGGCATCCCGTACTGTGGATTGACAAGTCCAGCCCCCTGAATACTTTCGTAAACAAACGTAATCCTCTCCGGCTTTTTTTCTAATTTGTGTGTTACGTCGGAGGAGCTTAACATGTACGAGGTGGTGACTGGTATGGACAATGCATGGCCGCATCTAAAGTGATCCAAAGTACGTATGCATCCCGCGGAAGCCAAGGAGTCTCGGCAGGGGCAGAACCGAATTCAGAAAAAAAATCCTCATCTGTTTTATTTCCCCATCGCACAATCTTGCCCCAAGTAGGGAATATTGAGGGCATTGCCAGGCCCCTGCTGGAGGTGACGTTTTCTTTTCCCCAGCCAGGGCATAACTGGCTTCAATGTGCATGCCAGCATCACTGGCCACTAGAAGGTGGGCTTGGAGGCAACAATGTGTGGTGGCTGAGTTCACTGTGCTTGGATCTTGTCTGGGTGGACCCCTGTGCTGACCTCTTTAGCGTCACTCCACCAACAGCCCAACGACGCGTTTCCTATCTCACTGCGCCACCCATGTCAGGCTCACACAGCCCTGCTGTTTGGGTCACCCCGTCCTCAGCTTGTCCTAGGTTCTTCTGCTGTATACTTAAGGGCCTGACAACCGTGAAACTCTAGAAGCTTTTCCCTCCCTTCATCATCCTGCGTTCGCCCGTTGGTTTCGTTTCCTGCATCCCGTCAAGTATTTCGTTGCGGTTACAGCATCCCATTTCCTTCGCTTTCCAATCCAACAGACGCCTGCAACCCGATTACGTGGAACTCATCCCGCCTAAGCTTCGACGTCACTTTTGCTCAACGCCAAGACAAAACAAGTTAACCTATCCACGACCAGACTACAACGTCAAAATGCGAGCTGGACGCTTCGTCTGTGTGGGAATTCCCGTCCTACTCACGATAGGTGCTATTGTGTCCTACCTGATCGCCGCCCTCTCCGGTGTCGCCCACAACAGCGTCTACCTCTTCAAGGTCGATCTTTCCAAACTCGACATCGATGAGAACAGCATCAGCAACTTCGTTTCCGAAAACCTCGGTATACTAGGTCGTGATGCCGAGGAGATTCGAGGTATTACTGCATCCAACCTGGGCTTCGGTGATTCTTACGATGTCAACCTCTGGGGATACTGCATGAACAAGAATGGTACCGACCGAGAGTGCACCAAAGCTCAGTTCGACTGGGCCAGCACCAGAATTAAGAAGGACTTCCTCGACCCCATTGCTGGAAAGTCAGTCGAGCTCCCCAGCGAGATGAAGTCTGCTCTTAATGTTTTTACTACCGTTACCAAGTACACCGAGATCGCCTTCATCATCGCCCTTGTTTCGCTGGGTGTCGAGCTGTTGGTCGGTATCTTCTCCAACTGCACAAGAATCATTTCTTGCCTCACCACTTTGATCGGCATTGTGGCCATCCTTTTCTCTCTCGCCGCTTCCGGTCTTGCCACTGGAATGGCTGTCGTTGTCGTCAGCGCTATCAAGACCATCGGCAAGCCTTACGGTGTTGAGGGTAGCTTCAACGGCAACTTCCTCGCTTGTATCTGGATCGGTTTCGCCTTCTCCCTCGCCGCTGGCCTGTTCTGGCTCTTCACCATCTGCTGCTGCAAGCCTGACCACCGCGAGAAGCGCCGCAGCGATGGCGAGAAGCTCATCCCCAGCTCCGGCTACTACCCCATCGGCAGTGACAACGAGATGACCAGCGGCCACGGCTACCACAACCAGTACCAGCCCTCGTACAACAAGAACTCCAGGACCCACGGCCACAGCAACTCTGATGTTGCTTACGAGCCATTCTCCCACCGCGCATAAACCCAACCTGAAATAATGAATCACGTTTACAAACCATGGAAACTATCTCTCTCGATTACGTTTTTTGCATTGCCGGCGTTTGGATTTTGAAATGCTTGGGATTTTTCACCTGGGACCTGGAAGTTAGGACGAGCACAAGCAGTGTTCTTAGAATTGGAGGCTCAGAAGGGTTAGATAGAAATGACACGACGGCCTTCATGTTTGTTTGATATAATAATCGCAAGCTTCAAGGATCAGGAATACATTTATCATTATTCTTAAATTTTTATACAGTCTTCTCTGCGTGCAAGTTGTGTGCTAGTATTCAGCCTCGTGAGGCCAGTGAATGAATTGGACCGAAAGCCTGGTGGTGGTTTTGTTCGCAAAATTTTTATTGGGTCTGCGGCACCAAATTCTACCCATTCCATAGCAGCCTCGAGTATGCGCAGCTGCTGCAAATTCTGTTGTCGAGAGATAAAATATTCATGACAAAGCCATAGCCAAATTCCAATTCTTTGCGCTTGGATTTCGTGCCTGCCATGGAAAGTTGCTGCTAAGCCGTGCCTCCCTCATCCCGACTCAAACATGCCTGTCAATGTTGGTACCCCTCCTTCACCAGTCTCTCATGTATCCTTTCTTTCCATGTCCAATCCCGCTGCCATGGACGACATTTAAATATGCTGACCCATCTGATAGGTGAAGCTCCAACGGGAGTTGTCCCAAGTGCCAGTCACTGCCTTGGAATTTTCCCACCCATCTTCTGGAAAGCAGCTGGTTCTGGCAGGGCAGGACAACGAGATAGAGGTTTTTGACACTGAGGCCAGGCGGTCGCTTTGCAAGTTTCGTATATTCGACGAGCAGATCGTTCATGGCTTGTCCATTTTGCCTGCTGAAGGAGACTCGCCGGGAAAGCTCCTCATCTGGGGAGCCAAGCTGATCGCCATTGTATCTACGGATGGCTTGGACACAGGCCGAGTACCTTCGGTCGTTGCAACTGCTACTGCGCCAGATTGGATTTATTACGGCGCATTCTCGCCTTATGATAGGTCGCGCGCCTGTTTAGTCACAGCGCACAACGAGGGCGTCTTGATTCGTCATGAGGAGAAGGAGGGTCGGATAATCCTGGAGGAGGTCATCGCCCCAGCGCGGCCTGGCCTGTACTCGGCAAGCTTGACCTGGCTTGCCGCCGACTGCGTTCTGGTAGCTGCTGGGACTGTTTTTGGCGAGATACTGGTTTGGAAGGCTTGGGCCGGGGCTGGGCGAGAAAGCCCACACGAGCTGCTGTATGTCCTAACAGGCCACGAAGGTTCGATCTTTGGGGTGGATATATCTCCATTATACACCATCATCGGCGGGCGCCAGGTGCGATTTTTGGCCACTTCTAGCGATGACCGGACAATTCGAATTTGGGACATCAGTGAGCAAACGGATGCAATCGAACACATGAACAATCATTTCAGCACAGCAAGGGAGACTGGCTTCGGTGGTGATGAAGCCCATCCTACTCATGGGTCAAGACCACCCGTGGCGATGGCGATGGGCCATCTTTCGAGAATTTGGGGCGTAAAGTTCCCCGCTGCTACAGAGCCTGGTATTTTGGGCACGAAGAATACACTCGACATCTACTCTTTTGGAGAAGATGCAACGACGCAGTGCTGGAAAATGGAATTTCATGCCAAGACCGTCACCGAGATCCAAGCAGATAAAGGTATCCTGACTGGCTCGCTCACTCTCAAAGGTGTATTTCCTCTCCATGAAGGGAAACACTTGTGGTCGCGAGCGGTTTCAAGCTCAGGTAACAAGCAACTTATCGTTACAGGTGGAGCGGATAGTAGGATCTCTCTGATTGAGGCACATTCAACTGAATCAGAGGCAATGAGCTCACAAAATCCAGCAAGTCCAACCACGCCTAGTGTTCTCGTCGCGGTAGACATACCAAAGCTGAGTGAAGAGACACCTCAACAGCCCAAGAAGAAAAGACAAGAAGTCATTGGCCAATACGACTTCATCTCCAAGGAGGAATTGGTGGCCGCTACGTCTCATGGCAGGCTTCTCCTCGGCACTACTTATGAAGCCAATTTGGACTGGAAGGAAATCCATGTTGAGGAGGCTCTACTCCAGGATGTAGAGCGGACATACGTTCTAAAGCAAGCTGCTCATGGAATCGCAGTTTTGGGTGCAACTAGTGGAAGTGTGTTAATTTACCATCTTGCTACTGACCGACTGTTTCGTGTTGCTAGCCTGCCAGGGAAGATTGTAGGCATAACTTGCCTATCATCTAATATTCAACGGGAGGCCAGTGTCGCAAGGTCTCTTGATATCCTTGTGCATTTATTCGGAGCGTCCAACCCTACGTGGTTGACACTATGCGCCACTACAGGAGAACTCTTGAATCAAGTCGAGGTTTCTGGCCTCAACCCTAAGTTCGTGACAACATCAGCCGCGATGATAGGACAGTTTTTAGTGATTGGGTCGAGACATGGCTGGATGTCTGTGTTGGCACCGGCGGAAAATGGTTACCAGTCAGTGTGTGATATTGCCACTCGGTCAACTGATGCTATCTGCTCTATAGTTGCGCTCCCGGGCTCGCAAGACTCTCAGAACCGTACATCCTTCCTTGCTACTGGACGAGATGGTAAGTTCAGGATATATGAGATTGTCCACAGTGAGTCTGTCACCAATCTTGAACTTCTTCACGAGTCATCACCTCCCTTTGGGCCAATGATTGAGGGTGCTTGGTTCACGGATGGCCCCCAGCCTGAACTCATCCTCTACGGTTTCAGAAGCAAGTGTTTCGTCGTTTGGAACGAAACTAGAAGGGAGGAGCGGGCATCTGTCGACTGTGGAGGCGCTCACCGATCATTTAGCTTCCTACCTGGACGATCTGATCGGGACCCGTTCTTTTTCACGTTCACGAAGACATCAACCCTGTATTTGTACTATCAGAGACGCCCGATTTACGCCGCTCTCAAGATGGGGATACACGGTCGTGAAGTCCGGGCCATGACCTCCGCACATGACTTGATTGTCACTGGTGCAGAGGACACCACTATACGGATTTGGGAACGCTCTGAATATGGAACGGGCGGCGCAAAGCAAATGAAATGTCTGGCACTCATCAAGGCGCACATGGCAGGCATCCAAAAACTGGCGTGGTCACCATCGAATTCGGCTACGGATTCAGGGCAGGTGGATGGCTACCTTTTCAGCAGTGCGGGTAGCACCGAGTTTTTCGTATGGAGAATACGAAGTCTCAGGGGGGGTTATTCCCAGCTTGGTGTCACCTGCGAAGGTATCTTTGATGAAACAGATATCGATAAGGACTTGAGGATCATGGACTTTTCCGTGCAGCCAAGGCGGGACGGAAGTATCATCATCACTATGGCATTCTCAAACTCATTCCTTTCTACGTATCTGTTCGACAGATTGGATGGCTTCAAGGTCTTGGCAAAGGGGGCTTATACCGGGGCTTGTCTAACACAGATCCAACCTCTAACCAGTCTGGAAGGTATAGTCGAGGCGAGCAAGAACGAGATGGCCGTCTTGACTGCATCGACCGATGGACACATCGCTACGTGGAAAATACGACATGTGGAGGACCAGCATACCAAGCAATGGGTCCTCAACAACGTTACCAAGGTGCACCAGAATAGTATAAAATGCCTTGCCCTCGTTCCCGCAAGCGCAGGTCAGTTTTACGTGGTGACGGGTGGTGATGACAATTCACTCGGGCTAAGTCTGCTCTCCCGAGACATTTACCAACCAGTGTTTCGGCACATGTGTCGCAGAGCCCATGCGGCGGCCATCAATGGCATGGCCGTGGAGCGAGTGGGAGAGTCTCTAGTGGTATTCACCGGCAGCAATGACCAGCGCCTGAAAGCTTGGACGATGTCAAAGGACGGGCGCATCTGCCTTCAGGCGGACATGTACAGCGGGGTGGCAGACCCTGGCGATATTGAGATTCTCCCCGGGCGAAACCTGACCGTCGCGCTTGGTGGCGTGGGGTTGGAGCTGTGGAAGACGTCATTGCCGGGTTGATATGGTTTAATCAACGCCTCATTCCATCCACTGTGTTTAGCAGAACTGTGTTGTGATATGCTTTCTGTTGACGCTTTCACCTCCGTGATACGGGCTCACACTGGGAGTAATGGAGTGATGCCGAATGGAGACTGACGTGCGGGCAGTCCCTCGAATTTAGGCGGGAGTGACAGCTCTGGGGTTTCTTTAGCCCCAGGTTGGACTACGTCCATTCCATTCCTCGCCCTAGGTATAAGTTGTCTTAGCGAAGACCTAGCCAATGGTAGTATCCATTCGTCTCAGACAGCAACCTACTGACGTTTCCAATGTAGGTGATGATCTGTAGCATGGGTTGGATGGACATGTAGAGTAGCACCCTTGTTTGGAGGCACAGGAGGGGCTGGGTGGGCTAGGGAATGTGATGGGGATATACCGTCGATCGATCCGGGAGTCAAGAACGCAGCAGAGGCTACTGGGGCCGAGTATGTGACAGACTGGAGCGGTGACGATAAGCCCGTTTCGAGATGTCTCACGTCTCACTTTTTGGACTCTGTCCTCGCGTGCTATTATGACATCAGGGTTGGACCACATGGTGACCCCTCGCTTGACCGTATTCATGTGCGTGTATATGCATGTACGAGGGAGAGGGCAGAGGCAAAGGAGAGGCAGAAACGGCGGTATATCGGGGAGCCGGTGGCGGTGGCTGACGAGCTGAACGAAGAAGCGCATTAGAGGCAATAGCAGGGCCGTTGGTGAGGGGATGGATGGATGCGTCTGGCGATAACGGGCTTTCGCATCAGACGCAACCCACGAATCCCGATCTTACCAACCAGGGTTGGTTTTGAAGATGCACAAGCAGGCTTGGCAAGGCCGTGATCCATGCTCGTAATGGACTACAGAGGGGCGACTAGCTAACCAGCTCCGCCCGCTTGCCGCTGCCGGGACCGCCAGCAGGTCTCCATCGGCTGCCGTAGGGGCTGTCACAGCGCTAGCGCCCTGCTGGAGCATTGTCAAGCAGCTCTAGCTCCCACCAGCCGACACACACCAGCGCTCAACACGAGCTGAGATGCGACCTGACACGACACACGACACACAACACGACAAGATGGCGCTGTCTAGTCCTCTATTTGCGGCGTGCGAAACATGGACTGCACGAGGCTTCCAGCAGGCAGGCAGGCCGAGTGCACGCCTGCTCTGCCCTTCTCTTCCTTATCTTAAATCAGCCTGGCCGCCCCAGCCGATCCCGCCCAAAACCACCTCCCAAATAAATGAGCAGGAGCCTGATCGCTGTCACATCTGCGTCTCAAACAGCTCTTCATTTCGCACCAGATAATTCCACAGTTAATTACACCGCACGACCCTGCCATCTCACCTCACCTTTCCCTCCTCTCCGCCGCTATATGAACTGAGCCTTGCCGCCCAGCTTTGCGAACAAGGATCCCGCTCTGCACGTCCTTCTCTTCCTTCCTTTCTCTCCTCCCACATTCCTTACCAAAGGCCATCCACTGGTGGACGCCCATTACATTCATTACCCATCTCACTACGTTACCTTCCGCAATACCCCAAAAACCCAGAGGGTCAATCGACAGAACAAGAGGACAAGAACAAATTCAAAGAAAGAGAACCGTGAAGATGAAATCCTGGACCTTCTACATCGCCATGCTCATGGCTCCCGCGGCCCTGGTGGCCGCTGCTCCTCTCAGCCCTATCGCACCCCGCGGCCCGTGTCCTGATGTAAGTCTCCTGCCAAGTGCCCAGCCTCATCACCGCACATGATGATCAAATCATATCACCATCCTGCTGTGCCGTATACTAACACAGATTGCACAGGCCAAGGTCGACGCCATCCTGAAGGGCGAGATGGATCCCTCCGAGTGCTGCTCCTACGGCAAATGCAAAGGCGATGTCGTCGTCTCCGTCGGCTAGGACTTCCACACCTTCGTTCACCAGATCAACGAATGAATCCATTCCTGGGTTCATATGACTTTGATTTGATCCGTACCACCAACACCAAAATGCAGTGTCGACCTCGGCCTGCAGCAACTACACGTCTGTGATCGACGTTCACCAATGCATGTTTACATGCCTGATGTGCTTTATACCCTGTTATGAGAAACGAACATATGACTTCTTCACTTCTTATCCTCCTCTTTTAAGCACAATCTGTGCACCTTCAATTCTTCCATCACTTCTTTCGTCTCGACTTCTTCACTTCTTCCTCTCTTCTTCACTTTCCCCCTCCTCACTGACGCCTCCTCCTTTCTTCACTTCTCCACATTGAATTGACTTCATCACACCTTCTCCCCCAATGGGGATACCGTTTCTAGCCAGGGTCGGCTGGCAGTTTCACACTTGGGCAAGTTCCTTTTTCGCAATTCAGGGCGGCGTTTACTGAGGTGCCATTGGCGTATGGAGGTTACCGCCCTGGTTACGACTGTCGGACTGTACCGCCCTTTGTGTCTTCTTCTTCACTCGTCTTGACCAAGCATGCCCAAATCCAGGTCACGCAATTAGACCCATATCTAGCTCAGGCAAAACCAAAATTTGAAAAGATTTGTGGCGTTACCAACCACCGGACTTTTACCCTTCCTAGCTCGTGCTATGGCCCGTGATGTCCGGTGTGATGTTTCTCCTGCGGAGGTGGAGAGAGGTCGCATTCTCCCAGACAGTAGACGTAGCAGATATGAAACGCGGCAATAAGGTCACCACCAAAACCGGGGGCTCAAGCGCCCCTCCTCCCCCCCCTCTTGATGTCAAAATGCACCAATACGGCACGACTTGGGGACTTATCAGCCTCAATATTTAGTGTGGGACGTTTTCTCAACAGTCTCGGCTGTAGCATCTGCCGCGTCCGCCAAGGGCCCCCATCGCGACTGGAGAAGAGCGTTGGAGTAGCGTCCTGAAAAGTGGCACTGATATCGGAGTATTTCATTTGGGCGCTTAGTTATTCGCACACGTCCCAGCCCACTGTAGTTGGTCAACTGATCCCGAGGGCATGGTCGCATGGATCCATTGCGAATTTAATTTCTGGATGATAAGACAATAGCTCGAGAGGGGGGAAGAATGGCGTCTCTATATAGCCGCGCACACTGCCTAATTTGCATAGCGTCACCGACATTAGATGCCGGTTGTTGATTTGTCCATCTGGCGTTATCTGGGCTATCCTGGTTACACTAGATGTAATACGACGTTGATGTTGCTTCCGTGGTAATACTATGATTCAGTTGTCGGTATAAGCCGCTTCTCTAAGATCAAGCCTGGAGACAATGGTTTAAATGTCCAGACACAGGGTGGAATAAAAGTTCATGCATAGAATTATGCAATTTAGATCAAATGGAACGTCAAGAATGCTTGATACGACGCAACTCCCAATCTATCGCATACAAGGTACCAGATAGAAAATGATCTGCATGCCATGCTATGCGGGGTGCAAGACCCTGCTCTGCGCAGCGTATGAGCAGGCACATATATAAACACATCCATACATATATGTGTCTGTATGTAGATGGGCATGCCTAATCTGTTGATATGCGGGGGTTTGCATTGGTGACCCTGGAAAAATACATCATATGTATATCTTCACCCATCTCCGGAAGTCTGGCTGGTGTGTTGTGTGGCCGGTTGCTGGATGCGTGATATTCCTTGCACGACGATTGCGGTAGGCCCAAGCGCCCTGCACCGCCCGTTCTTCATGCTGCTGCAGCAGCATGAAGGATCAATTGTCAATACACAGCCCGTGCCGAGTACGTACATGTACCAATGGGGAGAGACGGGAGAAGGAAGACGATAAAAAGATTCTTTCAAGTCACGAGGTCCCTGTTTACCGGCAACACACTCCACCTCCGGCTGATATGCAGGGTACCGTGAAAGGAGGAATAAATCCCAATGGGGAATGTCTCTCGAACAAACATCCGGTCGTCCCAGAAGAGTAGGGCCGGATGTGGAAGGGAGCTGTCAATTGATCCTCAACTAAGGGCCTTTTCTTAGTCTTTTAAGTCCACCTATCTCTATCGAGAGATGTCAAACTCCCACTCTAGAAAGGCGCTGGAAGCCAATTGGCACCCACCACCAAGCCCTCCAGCCGGCCAAATTCAAGGATGGCTCTCGACGCCTTCGGGGAGTTATTTTTCGACTCCCCGACTGAACCGGCCCGCGTGTGGCGAGGCATCGTCTTGACCACATGAAAGAAAATATAATCTCTGGGGAGGGGATGCCTGGCGTCCTGCGGTCCTCCCAGAGACCCGTTTTGATAGAGCCAATGGCCTCCTTGCGAGACCGTGAGCCTGACGCTAGGCCAACCGCATTGGAGGGCTGCTGGAGAAGGAGGTGGATTTCACGCCTCAGAATGTGCTCCCTCGCCTCTATGGTGATTGGCGCGGTAGTTTGCATCAAATCGCATCGTCGGTCTTAGCCTGCCCGAACCATGTTCCGACCCCACATTGTTTTCTCCCGCCCACCTCTCACTCGACCTGCAAGATCATAGGCGACGTGGGGGAGCTGATTTGACCGAGCGTGGCATGGAGTACATAGGGACAAGTAGGCCATAAAGGACGAATTATATATTGGGAGAGTAGGTGCCCAACCAGCTGCCCCCTTTCCTTCTGACATCCTCGGCACGGAAGGGAAATAGAGATTTTTGACCTCCCGGCATCACCTTTTCAGCCTATTCATCTTTGTTCTTTGTATAGATAGGCGATCTTCCTGCACGTAGCATCCGCCGAGCAAAGGAACAAAGCTGCACACGCGTTCTCTTCACCGTCTCTCATTATGAGTCCCGTGGCAGTCGAAACCCCCACACCAGGGGCTATCAAGTCGCAACAGCTCAAGCCCAACATTGGTGTTTACACAAACCCTCAGCACGACCTATGGATCACGGCAGCTGAGCCCACTGCTGAGAGCGTCAAGGCAGGTACCGACCTGAAGCCGGGAGAGGTCACTGTTGCCATCCGCAGTACCGGTATTTGCGGGTGAGTTCAAGGAAATGCATCCTGAGATTGGTGCCGTCGTCTAATAAGAGAGTAGATCCGATGTGCACTTTTGGCACGCTGGCTGCATCGGCCCCATGATTGTGGAGGGCGACCACATTCTCGGTCACGAATCTGCGGGAGACGTCATCGCAGTGCACCCCTCTGTAACTAGCCTAAAAGTTGGCGACCGTGTTGCCATTGAGCCTAATATCATCTGCAATGAGTGTGAGCCATGCTTGACTGGCCGCTACAACGGCTGCGAGAAGGTCGAGTTTCTGTCCACCCCTCCGGTACCCGGACTGCTCCGTCGATATGTCAACCACCCAGCAACTTGGTGCTACAAGATTGGCGACATGTCCTATGAGGATGGTGCCATGCTGGAGCCTCTGAGCGTAGCCCTTGCCGGACTGGAGAGAGCCGGAGTCAAGCTGGGAGACCCCGTTTTGATTTGCGGTGCTGGACCCATTGGTTTGATTACTCTACTCTGCTGCGCTGCTGCTGGAGCTGCTCCCATCGTCATCACGGATATTGCTGAGAGCCGGTTGGAGTTCGCCAAGTCGATCTGCCCTCGTGTAATTACCCACAAGGTCGAGAGGGAATCGGCAGAGGACTCTGCCAAGCGAATCGTTCAGTCATTCGGAGGCGTCGAGCCGGCCCTTGTGATGGAATGCACCGGCGTGGAGAGCAGTATCGCCACTGCTATCTGGACTGTCAAGTTTGGCGGCAAGGTCTTCATCATTGGTGTCGGAAAGAACGAGATCAACATCCCATTCATGCGAGCAAGCGTGAGGGAGGTTGACATCCAGCTCCAGTACAGATACAGCAACACCTGGCCCAAGGCAATCCGTCTGGTGGAAAGCGGCGTCATTGATCTGAAAAAGCTGGTGACGCACCGCTTCCCGCTTGAGGATGCGCTCAAGGCATTCGAAACCTCAGCAGACCCCAAGAGTGGTGCCATCAAGGTTCAGATCCAGAGTCTAGATTAGAGGACATGGGATAAGGTCAAATTTAAATAAACAAGAGAGGGCAGGAGTTGGCGTGTGACGGGCAATAAGAGCAAACAAAGATATACACGAAATAGGCATACAATCGGGCTATCAGGATTGATAGATGATCCAGGGCATGACAATGGACATTTTGAATAATTCACATGGATGATATTTAGATCTGCAACAGTGATGACAAACAGAAAGACGTAGATGCGTTGGCCTCAAGTGGCTGTCTGTCTCAGCAGCTCAGCGATGGAGGCAGGTACGGAGCACGAGATTGGCCGGACTCGTCGTGGCACCTTCCATTGGTTGAGGGCCTCGGTTCCTGAATCAGTGGTGGCTATTCCGGACAGCCCCAGGTGCCCAATTGCTGGCGGGGAGGTGCGCACCCTGATTATCTACAGGGACTGTTTTGACTGATTCCAGTTTCTTAAATTTATTGAACAGCATGGAAACTAAAATAATCAACATCTTCAAGCTATGACACGTTGACACCTGTTGAGATCCCGATGATCACGCCCGGGTGGGTGTGCCTTGGTGGTGTCTTTTGGTGGTGTCCATTCCCTAGCACCGGCTCCCAAAGAGGCTTAGCGCATCCGTCCAGCCCAAACTCCCCGTGAAGATATCGAAGCTCTTCTTTTGTCATATATCAAATATGAACTTTATCGGCAGCTTGTCCAACAGGCCTCACATTTCATCTGCCTAATAAACCGTAGTTGTAAGTAAGATAGCACTTTGCGGAGAAAAATAGGGAGAGATACCCGACCATCAAGAATTCAATAATCTGACGCTATAGTCAGCATCATAACACAGGACTTCAGTTTTTATCCGGCTGCGTGGCTTATACTTATTCAGCCATACACAATACTCAACGTCAACAATTGCTCGTGCCCGGCGTAATAAATTATAACCCCCTTCATAAACCTTAACATACTCATTTCCTTCTATTTTATTGCTGTATGTAATTCCCGGGCTTATTACGCGCCATTACGAGTTGAACTACACAGCCTATATAGGTACATATTACCATCTAACAGATTAGGTAGGATCTCATCTCTATTTCGCAGTGGAAAATAATTCTTCCGGGCGAGCTTTTTTTCTCCCTCAATTGAACGGACGACACGCCGATAGACAGACCACCTTAATTCCAGCCTCGTCCTTCATTCGTCTCTCTCGCGCCGTCGTCCTCGCCCTCCTCGACTCCCGACGACCTTCAATTCCCCTCCCCCGCCGCCGCACAATCGATTCCTTTATCACGATGGCCGCCCCCATGTCACTCACGCGCCCGATGCTGCGCTCCCCAGTCTTGAGGCAGCTCGCCGCCCGCCGCCTCCAGAGCACCGCCGCTGAGAAGGCCAGCACCGCCGCCGAGAAGGCCGCCGCTGCCGCCAAGGACACCGCAAACAAGGCTGCCCAGGGCCTGTCGCGAGTCACCAGCGCCGCTGGCCCTGCCATCGCCGGCGCCGCCAAGTCCATCGGCAAACTGGGCGGCCCAGCCGGCCAGGCCATTGGCTTCCTCGAGCGTACGTCCCGGCCCTATACCCACGAGATCCGAGCAGTTGAGGATGCTCCCGGGGGTTGGAAGATCGCATAATTGCAACCCCCAGCCTTTGTTGGAGAACCTTAATTGAAGCTGACTCCCCCATGCCGTCGTACAGGTCAGACTCCCCTCGTCGTATACTACAGCAAGGTCGCCCTCGAGTTGGGCAAGTACGTCGCCCAGAACCAGAAGATGGCCATCCCGTAAGAACTCAATCCAACCCGCACGCACCGCGATCCCGGGAACACTGTTCGCTGATCTCCATGACCCCCCACCAGCTCCGCCGCTACCTTCCAGACCTTCTACCAGGGCCTCTGGCAATCCATTGCCAGCGGCAGCATCCTCCGATCCCCTCAGAACATTATCAACTCCGTACGAAATATCAGCGTGGCCCAGCTTGCCACCGGCGGTGTCATCTTCGCCGAGACCCTCGGCTTCTTCACTGTTGGTGAGATTATTGGCCGCTTCAAGTTGGTTGGATACCACGGCGAGGTTGGCTCGCATCACTAAGGAATAGACTCGGGTAAGGAATTTTGGGGGGCTATGTTTTGTGGATGACTAGAATCTGCCTGGGTGGGGTTAGAAAGAACACGATACCGTTCTTCCACCGAGTGCTAAGAGGTGGTTTGAGAAAATCATGGGGGGATTCGGCTCGAGGTGCCGTGCCGTGTCATGCCGCCATGTGCCAGTATTTATTTCCCTTTGTAGATCTGTACAATCAATAATGCCGTAAGGTTGGCATTCTTATAGCTATGGGGTTTCCGTCAAAAGTGTGATTCGATGTCTGGCTAGGTGAGGCAATGGCTCCATCGATTACTCCATGGATGAGTAATGTTTCATTAAAGTGAATTATAAGAATTGCAAGCCCAGTCCCAGCATCTCAATTATCATGTGCCAACCAACAACAACTACGATTTCCCGCGGGGTTGCTTCATACTTGAGATGCCATCCCCTCAGATAGTTGGTAGGACATGTGAACGCCACCTGAAGGCCCAGTGCTCATAAATAATCCCTTTTTCTCGGTGTTTCGTGGTTTCACCAAGCCATCCGTCTGCCCATCCTCCTTAGTCGTTACCAGCCAGCCTGATAGCTCTTGAATATCCAACAAGAACCCAAAATTCCTATCCTGACAATTCTGGAAGGTTATCCCAGAAGAGTAATGCAAAATACTTGGTGATGAGTTGCATCTCGGAAGGGTTTGGGGGAGGGGGATGGCTAAGAGACGATGAGCCTTGAATGATAAATCGTGTAATGCAACACGTCTCTGGGCCTTCATTTCTTTTGATTTTTCTTCTCGCCACATCCAACATCCGAAATCGGGTTCAGAAATAGGATCAATGCAGAACACGGTAGAAAGAAACCCACCACGGCGCGTGCGCACCTGTAGCATAGATGGAAACTGAAAACAGGGTACGGAATGCTTGGCACTGCTAAGAGTGCTAAGAGGCTCTCCTTGCCTTCCAGGTGTAGCTGCAATGCAAGTCAGCGCATAACCTTCACTTGTTGAAGTTATCACAGAAGAAAAACTTACAGCGTCATATACCCATGGTATTGGAGATGAGCCATCTCTCGATCCACTCGGTGACAGAGATTTCTGACCTCTTCTATTCTCATGTCCCCATAGTCGATCATTGGTGTCAGGCTCATTCCTTCTATACCATTGATGAATGACATATTGAACCACCTCGCAATGTCATTGGCTCTTTCATCCCGGCTCCACGGGCTGGCATACAACCGCGTGGTCTTCACCTCTATCTCAGTGAAACCGGCATCCTCGAGCATTCGACGCCTATGCGCAGGGTCTACCCTACCGCTCCTCTTACTTCTATCCAAGCCAGCCAGGAATCTGTCAGCCCACTCTTTGAGGCTTGACGGCGAAGGTATATCACCACTCTCGTCCCATTGAGGGTCCCAGTCAATCTCCGTTTGCTCAATATAACCGCTGCCAGGCACCAGGTGGCTTGAAAACAGGTGAGTAAATATCATGTCCAAACCAGCTTGGAGGAAACTTACTTGAAGATATTTTTGTAAATTGTGGGCCATAGGTCGGTTTCGATGCAACCGAGCAATTGTCTAATGTGAATGAGGTCACAGTCTTGCCACAGCTTGTCCCAGCATGGTTCTTCGAGGTCAAACTGAATCGTTGATAAACGTATGGGGATTCTTTACAGATACTATTAGCATCAGCACCATCCCGAAAACAAGATTTGATCCACTCACGTGGGCGGTTGAATTCGGTTGATGTCGACCCCTAAGACATGAGCCTGGGTGAACTTTCTGTAAATTGTTAGCTGTAAACTATAGGGAGCACTTGGACCATGTGCTTACCGAAGAAACAGAGTAGCCCATATACTGGTTCCAGTACCAAGATCCATTACCCTCATTTGGCGATCGCTCCTAAGCTTAACTGTAGTGATCTCTTCATCGTTGGCAAGGCTAAAGAATTTGTGCAGCATATCGGCCCTATTAAGCTCTTCCTAGAGGAAAATCAGCAAGACCTTTCGAGAATAAATCAGTCCTCCGGGATGTGCCATACCGCGTCGATTGGAAAGATATACTTCCATGGTTTCCAGTCGCCATAATAACGTCCATGCCTCCATTGACCTTCCAAATGTTCAAAAAACGGGGGGGCATCGGTGGTCTCCCTTTCTGCTGGGCTGTTGGGTTCCCTATATGTTTGGGGTTGAGGTTAGTCAAAATCACATTTGCCATGTGGGCTCTGCCATACCTAGGTTTGGCTGATGAGGCCATGGTGATGGACTTCCGAAATTTGCAAATTAAATATGATCGTGTAAAGTGTGCATGAGGGGACTTTGTGTCAAACAATCAGTATCTGCGCACTCTAGTTGGCAAATGTCCAATGAGGGCGTGTGAATCAAGATCGAGTTTCTTGTAAACTCTGAAGGGGGAATTAGAAACTACTGGTGAAACATCAGGGAGCGAGCTGGAGGGGGAAGCTGCAATGGAAAGGGGACGATGAGGCAAATAGCAGAGCAGAAACAGAGGGAACTGTAAGGCAGGAATGGAGACCAACACATCCTTTATGAGCATTGACAGGACTGAGACCCTTTCTCAAGATGCGAAGGGGGGGGCCAAAGACGCTAGGATGTGTATAGAAAGTGGCGAGCGCCGACACTCCGGCCAAGCTCCGCCTTCTTGTAGTAGGTTTGTGTCAACATAAGCGATCAGCTCAAGTTCGCGCTATGGCAAGAGCGGACAAGGATGAGACCACGTAGGCATCAACCCACTATCAATACCAGTCATAGGTGTCGAATTGGTAGCCAATAACCAAGGCGTGAATTGGTTGTTGAGACAAGGATGAACAAGGACGAAGGAGGGGAGGGGTGTTGGAGTGTGAGGGGGATAGAGGAGTGTATTCAGCAGTGTCATGATGAAGATGCGGGACTCCTCGTCAGAAGTGGTAGGTTTCCGGCGAGAAAGGCGTGGACAGTAGAGGACTTACAATGACAAGCAGGGAAACAAAGAAGTCGTTTAGTAATAGTACCAACGAAAGAAACAAGTCTGCCTCCTAGCGCTACGTTTGATCTGAGAGACCGGGCGATCTCAGTGTGTTTCCTGAAGATGCTCCGTTGGTTCGGCCCTGCCCGTGTGTGGGTCGAGAAGCACGAAACAAATAGGTCGCTGCGATTCTTGGGGGGGTTGGTGGTGGTGAAGAGACCGGGAGGGTATGCAGAACCCGGCTACCACAACAATCGGGAGCAGAATCTAGAAACGAAACTGGTTTTCTCAGTGCCTGAGGAAGATCTCATTACACAGCTGTGTTATGCCTGAGGGAGCGGCGGCTGTCCGGGAACAGAGGAAGATTTCGGAATCGAAGGGCAGGATCCAATAAATATGGCTCGAAGCACAGCTCTTCTCATAAAGATAGATATATGCAAGCTGCCGCAGTCAGGCGAGATGAGGATGAATTCTGCAGGACGGTAGAACGCAATTGTATGTGGTGGTGGTCGATTAATACTGTGCGGTCACTGTCAACAAGGCTGGGGCTGTGTGGGCTGGCGCAAATCCAGCATCCGAGCTATGCGAGCTCAACAATCGATTCGCCAAGTATTCGACGAGGACGGAGAACTCAAGGCGGCACAGTAGTGACAACTGCCTGGTCTGTTGGGCAGGGAAAGACTGGCAATCCAAGCACAGCAGAGAAGGAAGGTAGAGCAGAGGTCGGCCCCAATGGAGGCAGAGAATTCAGACAGCGGCAATTGCGCACGTCTGACACGGCGCTGCAACAACAACAAATAGCAGGATAGGCCGAATTCGACGCAGGTGGAGTGCGTGAAGGGGGAAAGACCCAAGGCGCGGAATGGTGCCAGGGAAAGTCCTTTACAGTTTGACGGGCCGCGTTACAGAGAGGGTCTCAATGCCGCCCCGGTCCATAAGGAGCAGCTCTCGTGCAGACGGGCCAAAGCCGCGCTCTGGGGCGTGTGTTGGGGCCACTCGTCTTGTCTCGCAGCGGATGAGATTGCCTGGGGACGACCCGTCCAGGCAAGGCCGCTGCCGCTGTAGGGCGAGGGCTAAGCTGCTGGGGGGCTGCATGTGCGTGCCCGCCATCGGTTGTATCCACCGTCAATCCATGCCTTGGTGTGGGATGGGGCGCTGGGCTGCGGCTGCCAACGAGAATGAGGGCGAGACGCTTTGAGACGCTTTGAGGCAGGAGGCAATTAGGCAGGTACTACGTTGGCGCGCCGATGAGAATTGCAATAGGTGCTATTATGCACCTCTCCTGATTGAACAATGGACCCGCACCAAAAAACTGCCCAAACTTAGGACCGACATCCATCCAGCCCAAAGTACCCGGGTCCTTACCGCCACAGCCACCTCGCGGGAGAATGTACCGGCCGCTGGGCAGTGCCAAAGGGCCAGGCTAATGTATCCGTTGACCCCAGCAGAAGATCCGGCCAGGCGAGTGTCACATTCCTCAGCGCCTAGTCGAGCCTCCAGCACGATGCATTACCTAGGTAGGTACCCACCTTTGATCACGATGGGGCCAACCGGTCAAAATGACTGGCTGGCTGCTGGAGTCGGACAGCAATCAGATGTGAGTTATCACCTTCACAAGGAGAGCAGAGCCTGCTGCCCAGCTACTAGTAGGCCTGAAGAGAGCATCCATCACGTATCCGCAACTACTAGTGCCTTCACCACGATGAATCGACTTGTCCTGAGGGTGGTGGGAGCAGCAGTTTCCGCAGCGCCAACGGGAATCTAATTAGTGGGCATCTATCTTAGGGCCCGTCCCTAGCGACCACGAGCACAGGCGCTCTAACCCCTGCCCTTGGGCCACCGGCAAGCCAAAAGTAGGCGCATACCATGGGCAGCAAGGTCAGGCGCCGCCATTCCCCTCGAGGCCAAGCGCTGACATAGTACCATTCCTGCATGGCCAGAAGTGCTGCTGAGATTCGTTCTCGCTGTCCAAGTACCTTAGCCTCACGGGCCGTTGCCTCCCCCGTTTCCTCTACACAACAATCAAGAGCTGCAGAGAATTACCCCTCTGACTCGCAGAAACCGAATCAAGGAAGGAGAACAATCTAGGTCCTTTGCGCCTGTCAGCACCAAATTACAAACAATAGCGACAATGGATGTCTGCCATTCCTTCGGCGGCATCCCAAGGTACAGTCTACCTTGGGTCCCATGTCTGCATGTACTATGTCCGTTGCAACCCTGTCAATCGTCGTGCTCAAGCCTGCCTCTAGAGATAAGTCGTTGAATTGTCAAGTTGCAATGCATTCTTGATCAGCTACTTCCCAAGCGAGTGATTCTGCAGGTCAGAGCTTCTCATCACGCCCCCCTGGCTCGCTTTGTGAGCAAAGGGGTCAAAACCCACGGCCCCCTGGCCAGTTTTCGGACCAGAACTCATCAACTCGTTATCCAAGGGCATAGCCTATGTTAGATTGGTCCCGAAGGCTTGGGTCCTCGAATTGCTGGGACCTTGCGACTGGTGAAGGGGGTGGTCAGCGGGGAATACGGACCTTTAGCCCTCACCAACCAACGCTTTGCACCTCCAGCACTGCCGGTCAGAATCTAAGGTACATAGTTCTCTATGTACGGACACGGCCGCACCAACAGGCCGGTGCTCGACGAAAGTCCACGATTTTGCTGCACAATCTGTCGAATGAATAACATCATGCTGAAACCCTCAACTTGACGCCTGGCTAGCATTGATTATTTTTATTACCATGTGCACACTTTACCAGGGTTGGCAAGCCAGGTATGGTAACATCGGAACGGAGCTGAGTCCGTGAGTTATCCATCCTCCCTAAACACAGCCAATCATGAGTAATACTCCGTCTGTTGGTTCCCATGAAGCTGGGCCATTGGAATTAGAGCCAACAACCAAGGTCATGGGCACAACTTGGTGCCAAGCTGGCCATCAATCACCAACACGGGAGTGTCAGCCTCCGCCTTTTCACTTGTTGTCCCCACGGGAACACTCGTACCTGGAGGATTGATTTCTCACTCAGCAACGACTTCTCTCATGATATAGAGAAGTGCCACGATACTCTATTATACATGGTTGCTCTCAACACCTGGCCCACTAATGACTTCTGGCCTCCTGCTGAGTCGCATTGGCTCGAATGCGGAGGTGTGTTTCTCTGTGACTGCTTTAAGTTCAAATTCATATAACACATCGACTTATCGACTATGCACGGCATGGTTAAACGTCCTGCCGGCGAAATCTGCCCTGCTTACATTCTATCCGTCCAAGTCACTTCCACCCACCGGCATTGTGTTATCATCCCCCCGCGTCAGCAAGGAGCAAGCAGCATCCAAGGGTCTTTTGGATTGCATTTTCGGTTGCATCAGTGTTGGAAAATGCAACCCTAGGAGCGAGTCTTACCCTGCAGCCACATTTGCTGCAAGATGAACGAAAACCACGCAGGAGGGGACAATTGACAGTGGGCAGAGGCCAATATTGTCCTGAGAAGGGGGTGGCATGACCAGCCCAGCGTAACATGATATTCGCAGACAATCGACATGGGTGATATATCATCATGCGCCTTGGAGTTAACGAATCATCTTAGACTTGCATGCCAAGTCACTGAACACGCAAGTTCTTGTCCTGGACACAATGGTAGCAAGCCCACTTGGTCAAGTAGAAAGCCCTAATAGGTGATAAACACCGAGTGTTGGTTGGGAGCGCATTGCTAGCTCGAGAGCAAGCCATGCACGGAGATCTGCGCGACTTCAGTGTGCCATCTTCCCTGTTTCTAGCAGCACATCCCGCCTATGCCTCGGATACGTTTGTGTACATTGAGATCAGGTCCACAAAGAAGGGCGAAACTACCTCAAGGTCGCAGATACAGGTCTCAAGCAGCGTGCCAGCGTTGTATTGTAGAACCGTCTGAGATCCTTGTTACGACGAGAGCAAAGGAAATCCCCGAACGGGGTGAAGCTGCGGATTGGGGGGGGCCATTTGCATGCACCAACGCGTTATTACGTATTACCCGACATGTTGGCCATTGCTCGCCCAGGACAGTGGCACGCTGACGCAAGACCTGATTTTTCGGGTCAGGCATGACGCCCGCTCCCAGGGCACCGGTTTCGTCCTTCTTTCCGCACGGCTCCGTGCTCTTCGGGGAATTGGGCTTGGTCATAGCACCATGTTGGCGCCATATATCATAGGCATTAGCCTGGGCCAGAAAACACTAGACAAGCAGCGGTGGAGATGTATTTCCAGGATAGCCCATAAGCGAGCTCCCAAAAATACAAGCTTCATGCGCCGGTAGACTTTGCATTGGTAGAGCACAGCCCAAGGCCTTATTGAGGTATGGTGAGGAAAAATACCCCGGCGATTGTAGCGGGTGTGGGGAGGAGCGAAGAAGCAACGCGCAAAACTGAGCCCAACGGGGTCCAAAGGAGGCTGATGATGATACCACCGCGGTGGATGGATGCAAGGAATGGGGGAGCCGCCTGGTGCAACCACCTTGGCAGCCAAGATTCATCTCTTTGGCAGGTAGGTAGGGACTTTAGCTTTCAGCGCAGGTGTAGTCCCGGCACCTCCACATTGCGACGGTCATTTGCGTTTCGTAAACGCAGGCATATACGCCGAATCAATTGATTACGGTAAAGTGTACGAAACAGGTGGCCCTCTTGCCAGAAGGCAAGCCTAAACAAAAGGGGAAACGGAACCAACAAGCAGAAGGCGACGACTAGTTTTCTCACCAAGAAACCAGGTTCAGGGGGTTATCACACACCACCCACATCCCTGCGCCGAGTTTCGCGTTTGTCCAATCAGGCAGGCCTGTAATCCCTCCCCTGCAAGCTGAACCAGACTGTCGGGTCCAGCTGCTGCCCACGTCGTTGGCTGTTTGGATTGAACCTGTTGGGATTGTGCATTGGGAAATGACACATGACCCAGGCATGGATTCATTCATTCATCCTGCCTGCCTGCAACGCCTGTTTCGCCTCTCGGGTACCCCGTCCAACTTCCCACCAGTTCTCCTCTTCCCCCTTCTCTCTCTCTATTCTTCCACGGTGAAGGATTCTCTGCTTCCCTGTGTCCACCACCAGCCTCGACCAACCCTGCCCCCCCTTTTGTTTGCTCTTGCCCTCTCTATTTCTAGCAACTCAAGTACTAGTACTAATTCAAGAAATCAAACCACTCAGGGCCAAGCGTCGTATCTACAACTTGTGGCTGGCCCGGCGTTGGATTAGGCAGGAGCCAGTTGTAGGTTGACAACCACCGAGGACTTGTGCATATCAGATCTCTGTTGCAACAAACAATGCATGCGTAAATGTCTGAGCATATGACGTAGTGTAGCATCTAAGAAAATAATACATTTTTCTTCATTTTCTGGTAATCATGAGTGATCTGGTTCGATTCAAGGTAGAGCAAGATAGCAAGCAAACTATTCTCGGATAACCCTACATTTTAACTCCAAAGGTTCCGCAGAAGCTCAGTTTTTCAACCCAAAGATAGAGAAAAAAGAAAAACTAGATTGCCATTCTATAGCTGCCAAAAGCATTCATTGAGCCGTTGCTGCGTGGGCGTCTTTCGCAACAACCATGCCGGAGCTGCGATGCCTCACTAGGCTCTTCCTCCTGGCATATATCTGTACCCATTGTTTCTCTTTTTGCTAAATTTTTTTTATGAGCTGTTCCAAAATAGCCTTGCTCGAGACTAATTTCAACGGCGGTCTTGGAAGAAACAAGCAATCCAACTGATACCAGAAACCCGGAGGCGGGCAAAGCTCAAGATTGGCGTAAAGGAGCTAGATGAGCACCGACTCATACCTGCTGGCGGATGCCTCTCTACCATTCATACTCACCCGTCGCCTTGTGGAAAACATATTCCTTTCCGTTGACGGTCAAAACACCATCCTTGAGAGTGCACTTCCTATAGGTACTACATTAGATATCTTCGTAGGAAAAAAAGGAGGTTAGGACTTACCACTTGTTCTTGACGCGTTGGACCTTGTCGTACATGCAAAGCATGATGTGTCCAAGTCCCTCGTCATCAACCTCGTCATCGGAGCGATCCTCTTCGGGATCATCAAGATCCGAATTGATGGCATCTTCATCATACTCATCCTCAGCCCCGTCGTGGGCACCGATGCCGGATCCTCTAGGCTTCGAGCCCCCAGCTGCCCGGTGCTTGGTCGCCTCCTTCAAAGGAAGCATCAGACCTCCGCCCTCCATTGTCTTCGCTTTCGCAGCAATTTGCTCATGTAGGATACCGTCAATATCCACTCTTCCAAGCTCCTCAAGATCGCCGGTAATGCCACGACGCATCAGTATAGCTTCAAATTCGCCCTCATCGTCCCCAGCTCCGTCTGTCTGTGCGTTGTGAAGGTGATGTTGACCGTTGGGTGCTGGCAAGTGCTGGCCGCCTTGCTGTTGCGGAACCATGTGCTGGCCTTGTTGAAGCGGCGGCAACTGGATCTGTTGAGGCTGGCCTGAGATCTGCTGGCCCATCTGATCCTGGATTGCATTGATCGATCCCGTAGCCCGGTTGCCATATTGCTGCTGGATCAACTGCGATGCACGGTTTGCGGCGACGTTGCCGCTCTTGTTGTCAACTCCATTGTAACCCCCAGGGATCTGCATTTGATCCGGCATGCCATTGTGTATGGGTAAAACAGGTGGCAGCTGCGGAGTTGATGAAGGCTCCGCCTTGATAGGATGGTTTTGCGCAGGAGCCGGGTTAACGGGAGGTACAGGCATAGCAGGAGGCGGTGGTTCAGGTTTCGGATCCCAGGGGAACTGAGCTACATCTAATTGAGATAACTTTTGTTGCCATCCCTACAAAGCATGACGGATTGATTAGCATAATGTTCGTTACAAGGTCGTTTGCAGTTGATTACAAGGCGAATCAGAACGCCAAAAAGTGAAAAATAGAAATAAAAAACAAATGGGAAGAAGTGGAAGGGATTGAAAACAAAGCGACCAGAGGAATATGGCTGGCCGAAATGAGTGAAGCACGACAACGGGTATCATCATCAGGCTGGGAGTCAAATGCTGCGTCGACAAGTGAATGTTTGGTGTTCTAGGCACCGAGCATCATGGGGCATGTGATGCAGTTGGGTGGAGGGCGACGGGCCAATCAGAGCGCTGTGACCTAATGACTGGCCCTGCGGCGCGACGGGGCAGGGAGCAGCACTTTAGGCCTTTAAAAACCCAAAAGCGCTGAGGCCCCTCTCCCAGAATTCCGCCGCTGTCCTCCACCAGCCTCTTCGCCCAACACCGAGAGGGGCGGAAAAAGAAACCCCCTTTCACGTCAAGTTCTGGTTGGAACCAGGCTTCCCATTATAATTTAATGGGACTGCACATGGACTTTCTCGTTCAAACTTCTCTCCCCTCTTTGATTCACCGCCCTCTTCAGGCCCAGGGGCAAGGAACTGGTGTTGAGAGTCGGAAATGTGCTGTGTGACAAAGGAACAAGACGACTCATGAGACAAGAGCTTACCAATCGCAATTCTTCCAATACGGACTCTTCGACGCCATTCTCTTCAAAATCCACTCGAGAGCTATTAATGACCTCCTCGATGATGGTCTGGTAGACGCCGCCGACTGCCTGGTTGGACATGATCGCTTCGTGATTCGGGGTCCTTTGATACACCACTCGTGCTTGTTCTCGTCGCTGTTGGCCGCTGCTTCTCGCGTATCACTGTGAAAAGGGCACCTCGCGCTTCTCGTCTAGGTTGCCTTTGTTCCGAGGAAGGGTTCTGTGGGATGAAGAAAATGTCGGGTGGTCGCTGTCGCCAGTGTTGGCTAGATGCACCCGTCCTTTGATCGCCTTGCAAGCCACTCGGATTCCTGCTCCCAAGTATGTGAAATGCACAAAAGAGGAGATACTGTCGTTAAGTTATTCTACTTCAGTATCACCTCGAGAAGTAAGTTCCGCCGTATGGAAGGGTTGATGCGACCCGTAAAGCTTGTCTTGATCGTCGTCACCTTGCGAGTGTGGAGTGGTGAGAGTTGCTAGGCTACAGCAGGTATTCCTTTGTAAACGACCCCGATGGAGCACAGCCCGCTGAGTAAGCAAACCACATGAGGATACAAGGCACAATGTACCTTTTCTTACTGCAAGCTGAAGTTCAAAATGAAATTGAATGGCTTTTTTACAATATTAATTCAATTTTATTCGTACCTATTCCCCCAAAACTCCAAAATAATTAAGATAAACAATCTTTCCCTGGGTTTCATTCCCTGTATCCATCGATTTGATTGATATTGACATAATTGCTCGTGATCAGACCATCCGTCTCCGTTCGTTCATTCGTGCATGGAGAAGCGCTTTCGTACCATGAGAAGAAGAGCACAAATATCAACTCCCCGACTCCGTGCTGAGATTTCGCCTGCTTGCAAGACTGAAATGACCTAAAAGAGGAGCATACTTACCGTGGATCCAGACTGCACTCGCCGTTTACCGGATGGTCATTTGCTTGACCATGTCGGCTTTACCGGACGAGGCTCCGCCAGCAATACTGCCAGCAGAACCAGCCTTCTTCTCAAACACCTTCCAAAACTTCAAACTCTCATCCGCAGCAGCGGTAGCGAGCATCTGTCCGTCAGGGCTGAGACAGCTGTGCAACACACGGCTCTCGTGTGCGGGGATTTCCACGTTGCGCACCAGGGTAGGATAGCTCCAGATGCTGAGCGAGTTGTCAGGGAAGCCACTTGAGCTGACAATCTCACGGTAGTGAGGGCTCCAGCGCAAGGATGTGACCTGAGATCCAGTATCGATGCTGTTGACACGGGCACCTGAGGTTGAGTTCCAGAAGTGAATATGACGGTCATAAGAGCCACCGCCGGTAGCCAGCAAGTTCATGTTCCAAGGACACCAGGCGAGAGCCTTGACAGCTGCCTTGTGGTTGGTCTTGGTGAACTTGGGCACCATAAGTGACCGAGCGTCCCAGATGGAGACGAGGTTGTCGTTGCCGCCAGTAGCAAGCTGGGCACCGTCGGAACGCCATTCCAGGCCACACACTTCGGAGGTGTGGGATACCAGCTCAGCAACCTTGTGCTCTGCAATACGAACGTCGTGGTTAAACACGAGACCGCTGCGAGCGCCAGTAGAGAGAAGGTGCTTGCTCCAACCCATGACACCAACACGAGTGTCGTGGCCGTGCATGCTTCTGATCTTCTGTCCCTCGGCGACATCCCAGATCTGAACTTCCCCGGTTCCCAATCCAACACCGACGTATGCACCATCGCCAGACCACTTTACGCTACTGACGTAGGTGTCAGCAGGTGTCTCCAGCAAGCAGCTAACACTGCCCTCATCAGCGGACCACACATAGACGTTGCGCTCCAGACCAATTGCGACCTGGTTGCCGGAGCTCCAGTCCAGGAGGTTGAGGTAATAATCATCAATAAGACCAGGGGCATCAAGGACACGCTCCGGAGCGGTGGCAATGCGTCGTCGCGACTGGGCAGAAGTGCTGGTCGCAGGCTTGAGAGGTCTGTTGTACTGCTGTCTTAGGTCGATAGGCTTAGAGGACTCTGGTGCTGCTGGCTTGAACTCGAGAATGCGAGTGTTGAGACTGACACCACAGGCATTGGCAAGAGAATCCTGGTAAGCAACTGTGTTGGGTGACGGCCTCGAGTAGCTGTCAGGCTCTTCGTCGTTGAGGTTCAAGCCCTCCAATGCAGCAGCGGCATCGTCAGCAGCCGATGAAAGCACTGATGAGCTTTCTCCTGTGCTGGTCTTGGGGCGCTGTCTGTCTGAAGTGCTGAGCTTGCTGGAACCAGAGTTAACGATTCCAGAGCTGGCGGAGCGGTTTGGAATGAAGCGGTCGCCAGAGTAGTTCAGGGTGGTCTTGTTTGCTTTTTGTCGGAGTGCGGCCTTCTTGGCAGGGGTCCTGGTGTTGCCAGTTCCCGTAAGAGTAAAGTCTGAGACGCCGAGTTCAAGGGCTTTGCGGGGAGTGGGGCACACCCGGGCAATATTGGACTTGGGAGAATCACGGTGTGAGTCGCGGTGTGATTCACGATGCGATTCGCGGTGGGCAGCCTTGGGTGTAGACCGAGCAAGGTGTGACATCAGATTTCCTCCATAGACAGACTTGGATGCCTTGGCATCGTAACACGAGCGCTTCTCGGGTGTGAATGGAGAAGAGTTCAGGTCGATGGCAAGAGCATTCTTAGATGTCTGCTGCCGGGGAGAAGGGGTCAATGGCATCCGACCGCCTGCGGTACGGGTAGAGAATAGTCCCTTGTGGGACTTGATGGGGGTGGAAACCGATGCGGACGCCATGGCGATTGATTGTGCAGCAGCTTTGACGATGGGTTACCTGTGGCAACGTGACTTGTCGGCTAGGAAGATCGAGATCCGTTGGCTACAGAGAAAGCATCTAGCGACTCTAGGTTTTCGGTGATAATTGGTATTTCTTTCTTAATGTGCAATGTTCGATAAAGGATCCAAAAAGACGTTTCAGAGAGGGGAGCGGAATCCAATGGCTGCACCAGTAACAGAAACTGTTGAACTGGGGAACAGCTGGAAAGTCTTCTGAGAAGGCTTAGAGGCGAAGAGGATGGATCTGAGAGTGGTTTGGTTGAGAGGAAGTGAAGACAAAGTCGCAAGATGATGGCATTCACGGATTCCTTTTATTTACTTTGCGCCCCACTACCCGTGTGGCCAGGCAACGGGTTGGCAGTGGAACCGGAGCGGGTTTTTTCGATGCTCCGCTGCTGGGGTAACTCGCGCTAGTACAAGATAGGCAAGCCTCATTTGCCCCTACCTCGTGAGAGCCTGTCGGATCCATTTTTTCTGCCTCAAACCTGTGACCCTAGAGGCTCCAGCCCAACGACGTCTGACTTCCTGCTGGTGATTGTTAGAGACAGGGAAAGACCAGGGCTTTGTTCAGCGCCGCCGCAGTCTGCTCCACCACTCAAGTGTCACGTCACTGCATTGACGAACAAGAAATCCTGCAGACTGCTCGCCGCCTTTCTTTTTCCCTTGTCCTCGAGCGCCGCATGCGAACTCGTGGAAATTCAAAGGTCTAGTCTTTGAGATGGTCATTGAGGGTCTGACTTAGCCCGAGACAGACTTCTGTCGAGATGGCTCAACAACCCACCACGCCGGGTGGTGGTGCGCCTTTGACCAACTCCATCTTTGGGGTCCCGAGTTTGCCAACAGTCGCGCCGCCGCCGGTGCCTGGCTCGAACAACGTTGGCTCCCTTGTACATGCATCGACCGGCAATGCATCCCTAAGCGCCGCTCCCACGCCGGGCTCCGCAGCCTCCTCTTCCTCCGCCAATACCTATATCATGCCAAACTCTCCTGTCAAGAACCGACCCCTCGAAGGATATCGCCCCAAAGTCACTCGAACTCTGGGTCAGCGGCCGGCATGCCTAGTAAATGCGTCGGTTACGTATTGCGGGAACAACCAGATATACGCTTTCGGCGGCTTCGACCAGTATACGGACGAGGTGTACAACCATGTCCTACGACTAGATTTGGTCAGTCACCAGTGGTCCTTGGTTGACAATTATGGTGATATTCCAGGGGTCCGAATGGGTAAGATCAGTTTGGAATCATTATCCCAGTCCAGGAGGCTAATGGAAATCCAGGCCACACCGCTACAGTCTACCAGGGCGACAAGCTGCTTGTCTTTGGCGGCGAGAACGAGCATAGAACGTATCTGTCTGACCTAATCGTCTTTGACTTGAAGACAGCCTTTTGGACTCAGCCCCAAGTGTCTGGCCCCATCCCTAAAGGTCGGGCTAGACACGCCGCTGTCCTCCACGAAGACAAGCTATTCGTGATTGGCGGTATCACGGGCCAAAATAATTATGTGCTCGACGACATATGTTTCCTCGATCTGAAAACGTTTACTTGGTCCAAGGCTTGGCGCTTTGTCGCTCGGTTCGATCATTCAGCTTATATTTGGAACGATCGAGTTTGGGTTTTCGGCGGCCTGAGTGAAGACATGGACAAGGTTAGCGACCTGTGGTGGTTGGATTTCAAGGGCAGCCCCGAGTTTGACTCTCGACCCCAGATTGGGACCCTCGACCGCCAGGACTCTAACAGCAGAATGTCTGGAAGTCCTCGGCCACCTTACACTCTTGGCGCCCCCCTCCCCGCAGTGGGCACATCAGGCTACGCAGCCAACTCTCGTACGGCTCAGGTCAATACCCCGTCTTTTCAACTAAAGTCGTATGCGCCCAGAGCACCAGGCTCAATCTCGTCACTGAAATTCATTTCAGGCCCTGCCGTACCTTCTCAAGGCTCAGGCATACATTATCACGCCTACTCGTCAGGGACGTTGTTAGATTTCGTAACCCCCGCTGCTACCATTACTCCGAGAGAGTGTTCGCTCTCTGCGTTGGACTTGACGTCGATGAGATGGCAGAAACTTGCCGAGGGTCGCGAGATTTTCAAATCGGGCTACCGATGGCTCTATTGTACTATAAACGAAGATGGTACCAAAGCCTGGCTTCTTGGATGTCCTACTGACCCCACGGCAACTGACCTGGGTCCAAACGGTTACGAAGAATATCTAAGGTACGTCTCTTTGATTCCCACCCCCTCAAACGGAATTTCAACAACCTAACTTTAACCAGCGATGTGATGGAGATTGACCTGAGAAGATATGGATTCCTTGGCACTAATCCGTCAGAGCCCCGAGCGGAGACCAGACCATTACACATCGCGAGGCGAGCAGATGTCCCCTCGAAAGGCTTGGGTGGTGATCTTGCGAAACTGTTCAATCAACCTCCTGAAACTGGAAGCGGTACTGACTTCATCATCACGGCACTGGCTGGAGAGCATGATGATGACGATGCCATGAGCCCTAGAATGATGGCAGAAGACTCGCAGGAGGGTCATAGCTGGCTAGCACCCGATGCACCTACCTCACAGCCCATTCATGTTCACAAACTCATTCTCCAAGCACGGTGGCCGCATTTTGCTCGTTTGTACAATTCGCAAATGGCGGAATTCCACACAAAGAAAATGCATATCCCCGAGCCATATTCAGTTGTCAAGGCCTTCCTCTATTACCTGTACACCGACAATATTCCCGGCACTAATGGTTCTGATTCGGAGACTCCAACCGAGATAACGGATATTGCCGGCCTCTTAGTTATGTCAAACATTTACAACATCCCGCACCTTCGACTTGTTTGCGTCAACCGCCTCTCAAGAGAACTTGATGTGGAGCATGCTTGCATCATCTGGTACTGCGCTGGTCTTGCGAGCGAGGAGTGGCTCCGCAAACGCGCCGGGACCTTTTGTTTCACCCACTGGGGTCGCATCGTCCGAACACAAGGGTTCCTCCGTCTACCACGCTCGGCCCTCGTGGAACTCTCCCAGGAGATTGACATGGAAGGTCGGATCATTGGAGGCGAGGAACTAGAGTGGGATGGCAGTGGCGATGCGCAACAATCACTGCGCAAATCAAGCATCAGCAGCAATCAGACTCAGATGCTTGAGTCAGAAGTCGACGAAGATGATGGAATGGAAATGACTTGATGGATATGGTTTCGGTATAAACATTACTCGCAAAATGGACGAGGACACGCTTGTTTGTCTTGACCTTGGTTTTTTTTTCCTCTCCCGCTCTGCTTCTTGAGGGTATAAGTATTGCATGTATTCCTGTGGTTTCCTCAATGTTGTTTAGGCATCGCACGGCGTTGGTCGTTGTCTTCTCCTCAATACCTTTGAACTTTCGAAGAACATGTACTTCCGATGATGAACAACAAAGACATGTCCGTCCGTTCTTGCTTTCTTCTTTGGCCCCTCCTACTCTGTCAGGCCCTGGTTTACACGCATTATCAGGAACGTCCCCGAGAATCTCTTGTTTCGTGCACTGTTACATTACCCCGTTGATAGAGACAATAAAATTCCATTTCACTTCACTCCAAACTAGCCACCACATCGGCATGATCGTTCAAATGGGAAGCTGCTGCGTCATCACTCGTCGCGCCATCTCATTAGAATTAAATTTACTCGTGAGATCGGGCTTAGCTCCAAGGACGAGGTGAATTTCCAGGCCGGGAAGAGGGAGTTCCAAACCAAAGCAGTAACCTAAGGTATGTACATGGCCTGAACCCGCCTTTCTCCCAATTAGTCCCCTTCGAAAGCGCAGGGGAGCCCGCCCAGCAGTTCTCCCCAGTCCAAGGCTGGCCAGATTGAAAGCAAGCAGCAGTAAATACACACGGTAACCGAGCCCAGTATTATCAAACACCCGCCCCCCCCCTTTCCCACCGTATGGTCCGATCCTTCATCTCGTCTAAAGGCATCCATCTTCATTATCTCATTGCGCATGCAAGCGTGGTAGCACGTCCAGCTCAAGTCGCCTTGAGTCAGGGGGCGCGGGTGACATCTGCCCCTCCAACCCCCACCAGATACCAGAAGGTGTGGGGTCCTGGGAGATGTTACTGATGATCTTTTCTAAAAGCGGACGGGGTATTGCGACATCGAAACGGCAGAACAGCCATCTTGAAAATGAATAAAAAAAACAGGAAAGAAAAAAAAGGAAATAAAAGAGAACCAATTTTGGATTCGCGTCAAGAGTTGGGAATTGATTGACCGCAAGAGTCATCTTTATAACAAAATAATTCAATTCAAGAATAGGAAACCAGAACCGTCATAGAGCAGTGGTGGGCCCAAATGGCTCGTTGGAGTTGGGGCCAACCAGCAACTGAGCTATGACGACGGAAAGGGGTATTGAGTGTTTCGATAATCCACATACCACGCGGCAGAGGTGGTGGTGGGGGTATCAGACAGATCGCTCGAGGGAGGGGAAGTTGGCGGGGTTGCTATTGAACCGCAGCAGCATCCAGGGGAGGGGGAGGGAGAAAAGGAAAAGAAAGCAACCAAACAAGTAAAGCAAAACCAAATTTCATCTCTATAGAAGCTCCCGGCGACCTGCTAGGAACCATTAATGCCAATCAGCATCATTTTTTTGCCACGACTGAAACGTAACACCAATACAAAATTTAAACGCCGTCGCAACATGCCGTAACTCATTGGGCAGTCAAGCTCAAAGGCTAATATCAAAAACTTTTCTGTTTTCCATTGCTCGTCCTTGGTCAACAAGACAAGACCTGGGTGGCTGCCCTCAAAAGGGGATATGGGGGACCCTAAGGCCCGCAGGTAGAGAGAGGCAACAATCAGCTGAGAAGAAATGCAGCTCATGTCGTCGTTTCAATGCGCTTCATCATATCACAGGTCATACAGGCTTATTACAGAAAGCGATAGACCTTCTGTGCATGTGTAATTATGCCTGCCTAGAGTGGGCCCTGCTGATGCATGCTGCTGTCACCTGGCAGATTCCCATTAGGAGGAAGCCTGTTTTGTGGCAACTTGAGACCTGCAGCCTCCGCCTGGAGCTTGAACTCGGGATTGCAGGGAAGTGAATGAGATTTATGCTGTCATACCAGCCGTTTAGTATAGTTCAGAGCTCATTGGGAAGGAAGAGTTGTCCGACTTACATATTTCAGCCCGTTCAAATTCTTGTATCGCTTGCCACAGGTTTCACAGTTGAACGGCTTCTCCTTCTCCATGCCCAAAGTTCCTGGGTAGGGGGCACTGGTCTCTGGGTTGACAATCGAGAAGGTACCGTCGCCGTTTTCGTGCAACTGTTGAGTCTGGTGGCCGTGTGCCTTGTGGTACCTATATCGAGTCAGCGCCTTGATCCGCTATATGCTGGTTGGTGGATGACTCACTTTAGTCCATTTTGATTTTTATATGCCTTTTCACATCCTATGACAGGGCACTTGAAAGGTTTATGCTCCTCCGACATCATCATGCTTTGTAACCGCTGCATGAGAATCTTATTGGCCTGGGGGTCGTTGATCTGTCCAGGTGTGATGCCCAGTTGCGCTAGCTGCGCTTGGATCGTACGATTGCCTGGAGCAAAGGCACCGTTGGGGCTGAACAAATGCTTTCCGGGGTCATTGATGCAGAAATTAGAATCATTGCCATTGGCCCCAAAGTTCACGTCCCCAAGGTCGTTGGTGGTGCCTCCCATGGGCATGCCTGGGATATCTTCGTCCATGTCATCCATTCCACCCATTTGCCTCTGTGCAGCCATTTGCTGCTGCTGCGTGGTCAGGGTGGGCGTGTTGACTGATGAGACTGTGGGGTTGTGTTGGAAGCCGAAGCTGGCGGCGGCCGGTGTTGTTGGCTGGGAAGTACGAAGACCTTGTGTTAGACCCGAGGTATCCATGTGTAACTGCGGTCGTTGCTGCTGTCCAAAAAGGTGTCTGGTTTGGTGCATCCTTTGGCTGTCATCCAACTCCATCGTCCCGACTGCATCGTCCATCTCCATGTCTGCCACAGCGTCCATATCATCGGGTAAATTGGCACCAAGCCCCATATTCATCTGGTTATCGTTTGGTGGCACAACACCTATCAGTGGCAAGCCGCCGCCAGGAGTCTGCTGACCAAGTTGTGACGGTGAAGGGTGAGCTGTCGTCTGCCCGGTGCCTGGGGTCTGTCTTGCGCTTTGCATCCTGTTGTTGCCTTGAATTCCCATGGGGCCAAATTGGGAGAAATTGTTATTGCGTGCAACATTTGGGCTTGTCGATGTATGCGCTTCTTCGTAATGCTGGAGGAGATCGTGAAGGTTAGGGAGGATTTTCCCGCAGCAGGTGAAGTCTCGCATGAAATTGGCCTCGAGTTTGGGGAGATAGGACGACGAGTGAAACGATGGCGACTGGTGGGCGCCAAAAGGCGACGATCCTTGCATCATAATGCTATGGAGTCAAAAGTTAGCGATGTTCTCATTAGCATACCCGCAAAGCTCAGGATGAAAGGAAGTCTGTGAGCTCTCTCCAAAACTACCACGGGTGTCAAGTGACAGCCTCTGCGGCTATTGGCCCTTCCTTGTAGAACACAGTTTCCGTAGTAAAGCAAGAGGGTCGCAAGGCGAGAGTTGGGTTAGGAAAATCGCGAGCGCAGAGCCCAGTGTCGCGAGGTGAGGGGATATGATAAAGCCACAAGGCGAGCAAGCGGTGGGTTGGGTGCTACTTACTCATCTCGCACAAAACTCCCAAAAGACATGCCGCCCCAGCTGATGCCGCCCATGAGACTCCCAGCCAGACTCTCCCTGCGATTTCGGTTCGCATTGTCTCGGTTCTGGTTGCTCATGGAAATGGGCCGCGGGCCAGCACTCACGAATGAGTCCTGGCGCTGGCGACCCATGGTAGGGTCGAGTGCGGGGCCTGAAGCCATTTCGGCTTCGAGGTAGTTGGCGCCGAAGTTGGCCAGCTTGGAAATCGGGGGGGTGTTCGGTCTGAAGACGATGTGGGCGAAGACGAAGTTGGAGAAGATCAGAGATGGCAGGCAGTGGTTGATCCGCGGTGGTGTGGTAGTGGAAGTAGGTGAGGAACGGAAGTGGTCATAGAAATTCGGGGGAAATAGTCGGGAGGCGTTGCCGGCCTTAGGGGACGGTTATGGTGAGTAGGAGGTGGGCGTCAGGGATTCAGCTGGAGACAGTGCCCAGATCGCACCAGCAGATCAGGCCGTGGGTGGATGCCCGGCTGCGGCGAAAGAGAGGATCGCTGTAAATGTGGGTGACAAATGCGTCCGTGGCTGGGCTGGTGTGCTATGTAGTCGCGAGTCGTGGTCCCAGGTCGAGGATATTCGCTGGCTCCCCTCTCCAGACAGATCGGGTCCGCACTCGGAGGCAACTCAGTGTCGTGACCCGAGGGCTGATGGGCTGCGCCGCTTCCCTATGATGTCTAGTGCCGCCTCTTGCTGTTCTTCCTTTTTCTCAGCTGGCGCTGCTGGTTGCTTCAATTGTCAGGACCCTGAGTCTCAGACACAGGTTGCGCAGACTCGACTCCACTAAACTTAGGCTAGACGCTGCCTGGCTGCTTTTGGGTGGCAGCCGATGCGGTTGGGTTGGGTAGTGATGCAACTGGGCGAGGGGGTGTTAATAAGTACCGCTTGGTCGCTCGCTCTCTGGCTGAGATGGCGCCTCAGAAAAAGTAAAGTTGGTGCGCTGGAAGTATAGGCGAGTACATCTATTATAGTGTGGTCCAGGCTGGCATTAGCGCAAGGTAGCCTACACAATACGTATTCGTGTCGTAAGAAAGAGTTGGCCGCCGTTTGATCTGTTCGGATGGGTCGGTCAAGGTTTACTCGTCCACACGATTATCATGCCGAGAAAACACAGTATGCTTCTTTTCCCTCGCGAATCAGGCGAGCAGGGCTTGGGGCCTATTTGCAGATACGCGGGCAGCGCGCGAGAAGGTGAGAGAGGTGCAGGTCGTTGCTGTACAAGTCGTCCGACAAGACCAGAAGGTTTGTGCACAAGCTCCAGCACTAGGGAACCTGCATATGCAGACACTCACTATTAAGTAATAATTGCCTGTGCATATGGGCTAAAAACGGCTGGGGGTGTCGTCGGCCAGTAAGTATTGGCAGGCACAGGGGCCTTCCGAGGGGCTACTACTGGAGTACTGGAAGCCGCCATCGCTCTAGTTCATCCTTGCCATTTCGCCCGCCCAGGCATTGCCATG